TCACTGCACTCCACTGCCTAGAAGGCAGCTCGGCCTGTTTTGGCCTCTTCTGGCTTAGTCTTACCCAACTACACTTTCCAACTGGCCTCACTCACTGTGAACGTGAGAACTTTCCCAGCAGCCCCTGCAGGGTGGGGAGAGGATGGGTGACAGGCCCAAATTCCACCATCACATTTGCATTTTTTCTTGTCTTTTAGCTTGGGGGGTGTTCATGCAACCTACCCTCAAGCCCCCTTCAACTTGAAGAAAAGAGAGGACAGAGAAGAAGGAATGTGGCTGCCTAGATGCCACCCCCATGGCCTGGTTTCCACAGGGCTGAGCAAGGACTGGGAGCAGGCATACACAAAGGAGGGCTTTGGTATGCCTCCAGCCTGGCCCAGGTCTCTCCCCTCTCCCGTCTCCCCTCTGGAGCTTTGCCTGCCCTGCTCTGGGGCCTCCCTGTGAGCCCAGATTTAAGAAAAAACTCTGGGTGCTGAGAAGTTCCTTATGACACTCTAATCCCAACCTGCTGACTAGACCACGCCCCTAGCAGAAGCACTCGCCAGGAAAACCCAAGAACCAGGTGGCCACAAGGAGCTGCTGACCTGGTAGGTAAGTCAGGCCCAAGGTTCCTGCTTGGACAGGGAAGCCAGGATTGGGGTAAGGAGTCAAGGGTGGGGAGACCACCTCCCAAGCTGTCAGCTGGGAGCTGAAACCAACTGAGGCTGAGCCAGACCAACCTGAAGGTCAGTTTCACAAAGAAACATACATGATGCCCAGTTAAATGTGTACTTCAGATGATAAATAAGGAACCGTATTTGTAGTGTAAGTATATCCCAAATGTTCACTGGAAATGTGCATTTACCTGGGCATTCTGGATTTTATCTGGCAACCCTAAAACCCAAAACACCTATTGCCATAAAGCCAATTCTGGCAGAAAACAGGATCTAAATGGAGTGAGGGGTGGGCATTATTTCGTTGTATTCAGTGAATAGCAAGGAAATCAGTATTTAAAAAAAATCAAAGTTAACAGCTTCGGCAAGTATTGGAAAGAATTGCTGTACTGACTTTAACCTTCCCTTTCTAGAATATGGAGTTGGAGTTCTAGGATCTTGTCCCAGTGGTCTGCTTAATGGGCTGGAGTCAATCAGCCACTATTCCTCCTGTTTACAAAATCTTTCTGATTTTTCTTTTTCTATTTTGATGTGCAGGTGTGTTCATTTGCAGGGTAAGTGAGAGGTTACCCAGTAATTTATTTAAAAATTGAGCTCCTCAGGGTAATTCTATTCTATCAACCTCTCTCAGCAAAACCTAAGTGAGAGTACACACAGCAGGACTTCTGTTTCCCTTCTGTGTCCACATACTTAGAAGTCTACCAGGTAAAGAGATGCTTTAGATGTGGTTCCTGTTGATGGAGCTCAGCCCCCACATGTTCTCTGCCCTTGTTGGGGCAATGGAGTGGGACAAACCAGAGATGGGAAGTCCTCAGATACTCTCTGGGATTGTCTAAGTTTCTTGGTAGAAATTGGAATATGAAGCTAAGGAGAGGAAAAGGAGGGGAATGAGGTTTTGGTGGAAGATACTGTGTTAGGCACATTATAAAACTTATATTATCTTCACTTTAACTCTACTTAATAAGTGTTATCATTCCTTGGAGTTCTGGTGTGGCACTGTAGAATAATCACTGGATGCTAACCACAAAGTTAGAGGTTCAAACCCACCAACCATTCCTTAGAAACCCTATACAGGAGTGCTATGAGTCAAAACTGACTCAACATCACTTGGTGGTGACTGTGTGCCGTGGAGTCGGTTCCAACTCATAACGACCTTGTACAGGGTTTCTGAGGCTGTAAATCTTTACGGGAGCAGAATGCCTCATCTTTCTCCCGTGGAACAGCTGGTAGTTTCGAACTGCTGACCTTGCAGTTTGCAGCCCGATTCGTAACCACTACGCTACCAGATCTCCTTCAACAACACTTAGCAACAACAATTATATTCTTCAAGGTCCTTGTGCAAATGGTTTGCACTTGATTACTACCTGAATGCTGGCTGTCTGAACCTATCAAACAGCATCATGGAAGAAAGTTCTGGCAATCTGTTTCTCTAACGTTTTCCTACTATGTTAGCATCAATGCTAATTCACAGTGGCCGTACAGGACATGACAGAACTACTTTTTAAGTTTTCTGAGGTGATATCTCTTTATAGAAGCAGACTGCCTCATCTTTCTCCTAACGTGGGTTCAAACCACTGACCTTTCAGTTAGCAGCCCAATACTTAACCCACTGTGCCACCAGGTCTCCTTTTTCCATAAAAATTCTAGCCACAAAAACCCCATGGAGCAGTTCTATTCTGTACCACATGGTTGCCAGAATTAGAATGGATTTGATGGCAACAGGTTTGTTATTATCTCCAAGGTGTCCCTGGGTGGGCAGGGACTTAGTAGCACTTGGCTACTAATCAAAAGGTTGATGGTTCAGGTCCACCCAGGATACCTCGGAAGAACGGTCTGGTGGTGTTCTACTTCTGAAAAATCAGCCATTGAAAAACTTAATATAATACAGTTCTACTCAGATATACGGAGTCCTGATGGGCACCGTGGGTTAATATGCTAGACTGCAAAGTTGTTTGAACTGCAAAATCAGAAGTTCAAGCTCACCAGTCACTCCTGAGACTCTGTACAAGGTTGCTATGGGTCGAAACAGACTTGGTGGCACTTAGCAACAACAACTCTGACATACATGGGGTCACAACAACTCTGACATACATGGGGTCACCACGAGTTAGAATCAACTTGACAGTAACAGCTTCAGTTTTTTGGGTTTGGGTGGTCATGGTGGTGAATTTTTATTCCCAGTTCCCTGATGAGGAAATTGAGGCTCAGAAACGTGAAGTAACTGTACAAGGTCATATGGTAGTATAGTGGTTACGAATTGGGCTGCAAACCTTAAGACCAGCAGTTCGAAACTACCAGCCATTCCACGGGAGAAAGATGAGGCTTTCTGCTCCTGTAAAGCTGTACAGCCTCAGAAACCCTGTACAGGGTCGCTATGAGTGGGAACCGACTCCACGGTGCATAACCACCACCACCACAACCACCAAGGTCGTATGGGTAAAAGACGAATGGGTAAATGGTAAATGACAAAGCCTGATTCCATCTAGGTGTCTGTGGCCCTAAAACATTTTTACAATACCAGTTTTCTTTCTAGTTTGCCTAGAGATGTCTGGTTCGTAGGTGTCAAAGCAGACAAGCAGACTTAATATCAGGCAAGCATAGGTTCAAGTCCCAGCTCTGCCACCTCACAACTGTAACTACATGATGGAACTGACCAATGGAGCAGGATAGTGAAAGAATTGGGAATGTTTCGGTGGGGAGGAGAGGGAGAACCTAGAAACAAGAAAGCTGTTTCCAAAATACTCAGTAGGTAAGCAAGTTGTCAAGGAGCTCTGGTAGCGTAGTGGTTACAAATTGGGCTGCAACCGCAAGGTCAACAGTTCAAAACTACCAGCTGTTCCACAGGAGAAAAATGAGGCTTTCTTCTCCCATAAAGATTAACAGCCTCGGAAACTCTGTACAGGGTTGCTATGAGTCGGAACCGACTCCATGGCACATAGCCAACCAACCAACCAAAGCAAGCTGTCATGGGGGGAATGGGTGAGATTTGCTCTGTCAGCTAAGCATTGCTTGCTGTTGTTGTTAAATGCTGTCAAGTTGATTCCAACTCACAGCGACCCTGTATAGGGTTTCCAAGGAGCAACTGGTGAGCTTGAACTGCTGATCTTGTTTGTGGTTCAAACTGACCTTGCAGTCTAGCGCATTAGCCCACAGCGCCACACCAGGACTGATGATTTAATTAAATCTTCATACACTTTCTATCCCCCTATCACAGGGGAAGGGGTCCTGGTGTGGCACTGGGGTTAATGAGCTGGATTGCATGGTCGGTTTGAACCTATACTTGCCTGATATCAAGTGTGCTTGTCAGCTTTGACATCAACAGCACCACAACAGCGCTGAGCTATAATTGTTGTTAAGTGCTGTCGAGTGGGTTCCTACCCATAGTGACCCTGTATAGGGCTTCCAAGGAGCAGCTGGCGACCTTGTGATTCAAGCCTACTTTGCAGTCTAGAGCATTAACCCGTGGCCCCACACCAGGACTCAGTTGTAATTGTTGTTGTTGTTGTTCAGTGCCATTGAGATGGTTCCAACCCATAGCGATCCTGTATAGGGTTTCCGAGGAGCAGCTGGTAAGCTTGAACTGCCAATCTTGCAGTTCTAACAGCTTTGCAGTCTGGTGCATTTACTCACAGCACCACACCAGTTGTAATTGTTGTTGTTATTAAGTGACGTTGAGTCGATTCCAACCCATAGCGACCCTGTGTAGGGTTTCCAAGGAGCAGCTGGTGAGCTTGAATCACTGACTTTGCAGTTCAAATGACTTTGCAGTCTGATGCATTAGCCCACAGCGCCATACCAGGACTAGTATGCCACAAATCACAGAGCCTACACACAGTATAATGATTATGTAACTGGTCAGCACTCCCTGAAGAACAAAGGGCACTCCACTAGCCTTGGGAGTTTCTTTGAACTGGGGAAGGAGAGGACAGATGGGAGGAGGGATAGACTGGGGAACTGGATCAAGCAGGTCCCTCATTCTGAGGGGGTCATGTAGCTGAGAGCACAAAGTGTTTCCCTTACTGGGTCAATTCACATTAAAGGATAAGATACGAGGTATTTGTGTGTGTACCCCTTCTCAAAGTAGTGTTTCCCAAAGTGTAGCCCAAGATTTCTGGACACCAGGCCCGACCTCCTGATTTAGACTCTCTGAGGGCCGAGCCCAGACGTCTGCCTGAGGTGATTCCGACACACTTTCAAGTCCACTGTCCTGATTCAGTGACAGAACAATTTCTCTAACACTATTGTAGCCCTGATTTCCTTTCCTAGGGAAGGGACTGCCTGGAGAGGTCAGGACAGAGGAAGTGGGGCCCTTCTTCCTCCAAGGACTCAGTGTTTTCCAGAGGAAACATGTCAGAGAGCGTGAGTACTCCAGGACCCCAAGACTCTCCTCATCGACCTTTTTTCCTGTCTTCTCTGCCCTCGCTTATCTGTAACTCTATCATTTGGTCTGCCTAAGGGAATGGGTGCACACTTATAACCTCTCTGTGGTCCTGGGAGGATTAACAGCGATTCTGGACCAAAGAGCTGGTTTAGGGTCTGAGCAGCCCACTGGTCTGGCCTCCTCCTCCTTCCTCTCTCCTGGGCCAGGTGGGTACGTTCCGCATGGTCCCTGAAGAAGACCAGGAGCTGTACTGTCACATGGAACGGCTCACAACCCAGGACCATGGGCCTGTCTTTGGGCCGTGTAGCCAGTTGCCCCAACATACCTTGCAGAAGGTGAGGGCCCAGGGAGGCAGTGTGAGGGGACATGGTATCTTTTCTCCTGTAGTGAGGATCCAGTCCCAACTTCCCAGGTCATTCTGGGAGTCAGGGCCTCTCCAGAACTGAGCTGGCCTAGCCCAAGGATGCAGTACCAACAGGGTTCCACCAGCAGGGCCTGGGGTGTCTAGACCAAGAAGCAGCCTGGATGCAGACATAAGGGGCACCGGTGGTTTTGAAGTGGTCCTAAAGAAACAAGATTCAACTGCTGTCCCCACTGTGTAGCCAAGAAACCTGAGTTCTAGAACCAGATCCACTCCCTACTTGCTGGGTAACCTTGAAGTTGTTTTCCCTCTCTGGGTCTTCTCATCATGCCCTTTGAAGGACAGGACTGTCCAGTGACAGAGAGGTAAACTGAGGAGTTCTGTACCAGCAAGGGAGGCATGCCTTTTGGTGGGCAGGCTGCCATCTGCTGGGTAGATTGGTTTTTAGAAAGATCAGAATAAACCTGGGAGGGAGCATGGTGAAGTGATTAAATGTGCAGCTGAGTAGGCAAGAATCTTCACGTCAATGAGCCTCAGTTTGCTCATCTGAGTGATGGGAATAAGAAGACCCACTGTGATGGGTTATGGTAAAGATTAAAATGCATTAAGTATTTAAAGGACTTCTTAGAAGGGTCTCTGGTGGTACAGCGGGTTAAATATTGGACTGCTAACAGAAAGGCCCATGGTCCAAACCTACCAACTACTCCATAGCAGAAAGATTAGATTGTCTGTTCCCGTAAAGATTTACCGTCTCAGAAACCCCGTGGGCAGTTCTAGTGTGTCTTAAAGGGTTGCTATGACTCAGAATCAATTCAACATCAGTGGCAATGAGTTTTGTTTTGTTTTGGTTTTGGTAACAAGAGCTCAGTAAACAGCAGCTGTTATTATGAGAAACATTTAGGCTGGTGGCTGTATCCTGCAAACAAACCTATTGTGTGCAAGCCTGGTGTCACGGGACCAATTGCATTGAGTGGATGCCAACTCAGGACACAGTAGAACTGCCCCTCGGCTTTCCAAGGCTGTGTGTGGCACTGTGGGTTAATGCGCTGGACTGCAAAGCCGATTTGAACTGCAAGGTCAGCGGTTCAAGCTCACCAGCCACTCCTTGGAAGCCCTTTGCAGGGCAGCTGTGGGTCAGAACTGACTCGACAGCACTTAACAACATCTTAATGGACTCCAGGTGTGGCGTTGCAGGATCAGCATAGAACTGTGAGCCACAAGGTCGGCAGTTCTAACCCACCAGCTTCTCCTTGGAAACCCTATACAGGGTCACTATGAGTGGGAATTGACTCTAGGCACTAACCAATAACCTGACAAGTCTTTATGGAAGCCACTGAGTGATTTAACCACTGAGTCACCAGCGTTCTGAGCTGCCATGAGCAGTTTTACTGACGATTTGCCCAAATAGAACAATCTGAGATGGTGTGAGTGTAGACGCTGCCCTTGTGGATAGGAGGGTGGAGCCCCTCCCCACTGCCAGGTCTTCATCCCCACACCCTTTCTTGTTCCAGGCCAAGGACGAGCTGAACGAGCGAGTGGAGACTCGGGAGGAGGTGGTTCAAGAGCTGCGGCAGCTGGTGCAAGAGCAGGCGGCCGCTGGGGAGGAACTGGCCCAGGAGGTGGCTGAGAGGGTGCGGGGAAGGGACAGCACCTTCTTCCTGCGCTTCATCCGTGCGCGAAAGTTCAATGTGGGGCGTGCCTATGAGCTGCTCAGAGGTGAGGCCCGAGCTGAAGGCGTGGCCCTGGGAAGGGGAAGGAGGGTCCTGAGGATGGTTTTCGCCCTTCCTCCGCTGTGGTCAAATCATTTTCTTAGAGTACCATATACCACCCCCTGTAAAATGGGGGATGAGGCGTGAGGTGTGACCTGAATCACCTCCCAAATCCCTTCCCCTGCAGCAATTAGCAAATGAATGAATGAGTTTGTCAGGACCAGATTCATGGAGGTCTTGCTCCTTTCTCCTCTCTCCCGGTCTTGGGACTCAATGATTGGAGCAGGATTACCCAAACCAGTGAGGAAAAGTGCTCCCCAGCAGCCCTACTGGTCCCTCAGGGCCTATGTTTTGACTCTGGAATGTTGTAGAGAAGGTGGCCATGTGCTTGGCTCCCCCTAGGCCCCTACACCGCATGTAAGTGAAGTTGAAGATGGTGTCAGCCCTGGGAAGTAGACATGCCAGAGGACAGAAGCCCTTGGTCCTGCTGGCTGGCTAAAGACTAAGGGAATCAAGTTATTGGTGCTGGGGGAACTCTGAGATGTCTGAGCAGGCCCTGCAGGCTAATACTTGTCATTTTCGGTCTTCTCCCTTGTTCTTCAAATGTTAGTTCAATGCCATACTGTGCCAACCCAGGGATGCAACAGAGAACAAAACAGATAGGAGTCCTCTACCTTTGTGGAACTTACAGTCTTATGGTGGAAATAACAAACTAGTGTGAGAAACCAAAATACATAGGGATAAAGAGAGAGAGAAAAGAGGCAGATACAGAAGACTGAGGTTGAAGTTTCAGGCAACCACAATGGCCCCAGTTGTAAAGGGAACGTTTGAAGAACGATCCAGAGGAAATTACTATGCAGATATCTGCAGGGAGAGCAATTCAGTCAGAGGAACCAAGACACATGGTGTGCAAGTGCCAGGAATGTTCCAGACAAACTCTCTCTGAAGACCTCCTCTTTTCTTGACCCTTCCCAGTGCTGATTTGTTGGTGAAGACAGTCAACTGTCTATTTAATATGGCTTATGAAGGAGCTCTGGTAGCGTAGTGGCTACGAATCGGGCTGCGAACCTTAAGGTCAGCGGTTCGAAACTACCAGCCGCTCTGCGGGAGAAAGATGAGGTTTTCTACTCCCGTAAAGATTTACACCCTCGGAAACCCTGTACAGGGTCGCTATGGGTCGGAACCGACTCGACGGCATTTAACAACATAACAACAACATGATAGTAGAATGACTTTTGTGTCCCTCTTGGGGGTCTTCTGTATTCTATTTTGGGGTCTTTCCATCAGTCTTGCCCTCAATGCACCAGGGCCCACATCTCACTCAGTTAACCTGGTGCCCATGAGGAACACCTGTGTCTTGTGTCCATGGAAAGAGAAAATGACAAAAAAAAAAAAAACCCCGCCACCTGATGTTTTACACATTTTTAGTGTAAAACACCTTTCCAAATGATGTCTGCACTAGAGTCTTCCTTGATAACGGCAATAATTTGGTGACATAAGATAATACCCCATTTTAGCCCAACGTTTGGAGGGGAGGCGTGGGCTCCCAGAAAGGTGATAAATCTTGCTTGATCACACACAGGATTCATGTGGAGGAGTCTGGCCACCACGAGCCATCTCAAGTGAGGGTGGCATAGGGGAGTTCGCTAAGGGGAGCTTCTCTGCTTCCTCTCCTCCAGGCTACGTGCACTTCCGGCTGCAGTATCCGGAGCTCTTCAACAGTCTGTCTCAGGAGGCCATCCGCTGCACCATTGAGGCTGGCTACCCTGGCGTCCTTCCCAGTCGGGACAAGTATGGCCGAGTGGTCATGCTCTTCAACATTGAAAACTGGAACTGTGAAGAAATTACCTTTGATGAGGTCAGTGGGGACTCTGCTGATTCCCCCACTCCTGCCTCCTCCCAGAAACTGGGTTCCTCTTCCAACCTTGACCTTTACTGGACCCTCATTTCTGACTTCCCAGGAATTGAGGTCCCTGGAGAAAAGGCAAATAATCACGTGCCGCCAAGCCTTTCCAGACCTGCAGAAAATTCCTAGGATGATGTGCCCAGGGCAGCTGGAAAACCAGCAGCTTTGTAGGCTGGGTCCAATGGCTAACCCATGGCTGCCTCTGGGTTTCTCTGTCAAATGCAGGTGACAGCTGTGCCCAGGGATAGCTCTGCCAAATGCTGGAATCTGAGAGTGACAGAGCTAGGATGAGCAGACTGTGGGTGTGGAGAGATTCTGAAAGGCACAGGTTTCAGTCCTGTTACAAACGAAGGGTCTAACACATAGAGAAGTTGCACCCAACCTTCCCAACCAACAACAGCTGAGAGCAGGCACTGCAATTCACGTGTTTCGACTCCCAGCCCCATTTCTTTGCACTTATATTTGAGGAGGTTTCAAAAACTTTGTGGAAAATGAGTGAAAACATAATGGAATTTTTTTCACAAATTTTTGTGGCACTGCTCCAGGTAGGGGAATTAGCTTTTGTTGATGCAGAACTTTGGCATGTGGCACTAATTCTTTAAAAGATCTTTTTTCTTGTTTTTTTTTTTTTTTTTTAAACAGTACAAACTCATTTTAGAAAATGCTTCCCTGTTGTCTCAGTGGTGATGGGTGGTTATGTACTGCGGAGTTAGTTCTGACTCATAGTGACCGTGCATAGGGTTTCTGAGGCTGTAAATGAGGCAGAAAGCCTCATTTTTCTCCTGAGGAACTGCTGACCCTGAGATTAGCAGCCTGATTTGTTAACCCCTACGTTGTCAGAGTGTTGACTCAATACTGTTTATGAAAACGTGATTTTGAAATGCTATCCCAATCATTTTCTATATTTCCAAATGTAAAAAGAGAAACATCAGTGTCATGTAGTCAGCCCTATCTCGTGGCAACCCTGTGTATGTCAGAATAGAACTAAGGTTTTCATTGGCTGATTTTTTTTTTCCAGTAGATCACCAGCCCTTTCTTCTGTGTTACCTCTGGGTCAACTTGAACATTTAACCTTTTTGTTAGTTGTGCAGCACATCAGTGGTTTGTACCACTCAGGGACACAATTTCCATATATATGTGGGTCCTTTCCTGGGTCTTTTTATTCTTTTCCATTGATCTGTTTGTCAATTCATGCTCCATTACCACACTATTTTAAATATAGAGATTTTACAGAACGTTGAGTATCTGGCAGGGCTTGTCCCATCCTTATTGCTTCTCTTTTCAGGTTTATTCCTAGCTATTCTTGTATGCTTCTGTTTTCTGGTGAACTTTAGAATGAACTTGTCTATCTCCAAGAGAAACATTCTGTGCATTTTCATTGATATCACATTAAATGTCAATATAAACTTGCCATGAATTAACATCTTTATGAAGGTCATACCTGTGGCCATCTGTACTTTCCCCAAACAAGGGATGTCTTTCCTTTTATTTGACCCAATTTTTGCGCTTTCAGGAGTGTTTTAAGTTATCCTTAAAACTATCTTACACCTTTCTCATTAAGTGTATTCTTGAGTATTTTATTTGGCCACTGTTGGTATGAATTTGTTTTTTTCTTTCATTATACCTATCAATTGGCCATTGGTTATTATTTGTATATTTGAAGATTATTGGTTTTGTATGTTGATTTTAAATCCTGCTATTATGCTGAATTATTTTTATTGGTTTTGTCATTGATTCTCTTGGATTTTCCAAGTATATTATCATATTACCTAAAAGTCAAGAAGACAGTTTTTTTTCCCCTTCTTTTCTAGTTCTGATTAAAAAAAATATTTGGTTACATTAGCTAATACTTTCAGCCAAACAAAATCCAATGGCCGTGGAGATAGTGAACATTCTTATCTTGTCCCTTACATTATTAGGAGTCCTAGTATTTTGCCATTAAATAAGATGCTGACTGTAGGACATATATATGCTAAGGAAGATGCTTAAAATATATACATGATTTTCCCTATTACAAAAGTGATACTCTCTTTAAATCATACCCCCAAAATCACAAGAAGTTTAAAATCATCCATACATAATTCTATCACCCAGAGATATCTACTAATGACATCTTTCTTTGTTGTTGTTAAAGTGCCATCGAGTTGGTTCCAACTCATAGTGACCCTGTATAAGGTTTCCGAGGAGTGACTAGTGGATTTGAACCACCAACCTTTCAATTAGTAGCCCAGTGCTGATCCTATAGCTCCCCACCATCTTTCTTTGTTGTTGTTGTTGTTAAGTGCCTTTGAGTCGATTCCAACTCACAGTGACCCTGTATAGGGTTTCCAAGGAGCAGCTGGTGAGCTTCAATCACTGACCTTGCAGTTCAAATGACTTTGCAGTCTGACACATTAGCTCACAGCGCCACACCAGGACTCCTACATATATAAATATATTTTCCTTATATAAACGAGACTAGACTCTAAAAGAACTTTTCTAACGTTTTAGATAATAATATACCACGAATACTTTTACTTATCATTAGTCTATATCATTTTTAAACTGCTTTAGAATATCACACAGCATGAGTGTACCACAACTGTACCAACCAACCATTGTTGTCAGATCAACCCTGACCCATGGTGACCCTGACTCACGGTGACTTCATGTGTGTCTGAGTAGAACTGTGCTCCAGAGGGTTTTCAATGGCTGAGTTTTTGGAAGTACATCACCAGGCCTTTCTTCTGACATACCTCTGGGTAGACTTGAACCTCTAATTGAGAACATTAACAAATCACACTACCTCAGTGCTCCCTACCCTAATTTAACCAGCCTCTTTTTGTTGAACATTTAGGTTGTTTCCACAATTATGTAAGCCCTGGCGTGGTGCTATGGGGTAAACACTGGATTGCTAATTGCAATGTTGGCAGTTCTAACCCACCAGCCATTGTTGGTCACAGGGTCACTATGAGTCAGAACTAAATCGACAGCATACAACAACAACAACCATTATTATAAGAGTGCTGGGAAAAGCACCCTGGCATGTGATCATGGATATGACATTTGAGGTTCTTTTCATGGGGTGCAGTCTAGAGATAGAATATCCAACTCAAAGCCTGTGGTGAATTGCCTTCAATAAAGGTTGTACCCACTAGCTCTCGTCTCAGGAACTTGAGCCTTCATTACCACTGTGGCTGGCTCTCACAGCCTGCTTACTCTGATTGAGATTTTGCAGGCATATTGCTTCATCCTGGAGAAACTACTGGAGAATGAGGAAACCCAAATCAATGGCTTCTGCATTATTGAGAACTTCAAGGGTTTTACCATGCAGCAGGCTGCCGGGCTCCGGCCTTCAGAGCTCAGGAAGATGGTGGACATGCTCCAGGTAAGGCCTGAGAACCCTGTTCCCCAGGAGACTTGCACAGGAGGGGAGTCTAGGAGGCTGGACCCCATTTCCTGGTTTCCTGGTGCTAGAAAGAAACCTGAGAAAATAGGCACCTGGAGCCACTAAAGAGCTGTAACAACCACAGCCACATGGTGATTGACTGATTGCCAAGTATTCATTGTGGTGGTAGTTATGTGCCGTGGAATTGGTTCCGATCAGCAACCTTGTATAGGTTTCTGAGGCTGTAAATCTTTAGGGAAGCAGAAAGCCTCATCTTTTCCCCAGGGAGCAGTTCATTGATTTCAACTGCTGACCTTGTGGTTAGCAGCCCGAGTTGTAAGCCACTATGCTACAGGAGTGTTCCTTTGCCAAACACTGTTGCTGTTCTTGTTAAGTGCCATCAGATCAGTTTCGACTCTTAGTGACCCTGTATAGGGTTTCCAAGGAGCAGCTGGTGGGTTTGAATGGCCTCCCTTGTGGTTCGCAGTCCAGTGATGATCCTACAGTGTCACCCCAGAAGTCCTTGCCAAGTACTAGGGAGCTTCAAAAAGTTTGTGGAAAATGCAATTAAATGATTGGCATTTCCCCTACAAACTTTTTGAAGTCCCCTTGGATTCATACTTGTTTCATTTACTCCTTGAGAACCATTCCTCTCTGCTTCCTTGTTTCAGTTTACAAACCTGGAAATGGAGGCTCAGAAATTTGAGTGACTTCTCTAGGTCACACAGCTATAAAGCGGCAAAGGTGGACTTGAACACAGATCTCCAGACCTGTAATCCCAAACTCTGTCTGTATATGTCATATTGCCTCTCTCTGCATGTGAATTTATCCAGAGAAAGGAATATCACCAAACCCCTGACAAGTTCTTCCTACATATATGGATGCACCAGAAGTCCTTTCTCAGAACTAACTTGCTCTCTGTGCATATGAGGAAAGAACGGTGGGGACCATGGGAGGGGCTGAAGGACTGACAGGAAGGCATTTCCCCTAATGCTAAGGATTCATGAGTCTGTAGGGAAATAGCCAGGATCCACGACTTCTGGGATATCCTTCCAGTAGTTGGAGTTACAGTGACGCCCAAACTCCCTTTTGACGGGCCTTACGATGGAACTGTCGGTGAAGTCATCTCTGTGGCAACTGTGGGAGGCTGGGCAAGCCTGTGAAAAGGGATGAGGGAGTGGGGAATGTAAGGAAATGTCTGAGGCCACGAGGGATCTCTCTGTCGCTACAGGACTCCTTCCCAGCCCGCTTCAAAGCCATCCACTTCATCCACCAACCATGGTACTTCACCACCACCTATAATGTGGTCAAGTCCTTCTTGAAGAGTAAGCTGCTCCACAGGGTGAGCATCTGTGAATGAGTGAGTGAAGTTCTGTAGCAAGAACTAGTTCATGAAACAAAGCAGGAGAGGGTGGGGATGAGGAACGAGCCCCCTGGTTTCCCCTCAGGCGCTAGTACCACATTCTTGAACAAGAGTGGATCACACCAACAACACACCATGCAGCACTGTGGAGATGTCACCAGGCAGAGGGGACATGCTGTGGCTCTACTTTCCAGCCCCTTTCCTCTCCTTGTCCCTCACCCTTAGGCACCTCCTCCTCAGCTTTCTTCTCTGCCTTCCTCCAGGTCTTTGTCCACGGGGATGACCTCTCTAGCTTCTTCCAGGAGATCGGTGAGGACATCCTGCCTGCTGACTTTGGAGGCTCATTACCCAAGTATGATGGCAAGGTCACTGCCGAGCAGCTCTTTGGCCCCCGGGCCCAAGCTGAGGACACTGCTTTCTGAGGACACTTCTTGCCCTCTGAGCTTTAGTTAGCATCCTGGACTTCTCATCAGCTGCCCTGGACCCAAACATCTGGGAAAAGGGCTATCTGAGGAGACTGTGGTCCCTCCGAGCCTCTCTAAGTTTGGGTGAATTCATGTGTTACTATCATCCCAGGTTGTGGAGCAATAAAGCAGTAGAATCCCTTGAACCAGAATAACTGGGGGACTGTTAGATTTCTACCTGTCTCTGAAATTTTTAAGAAGGTGACTTTTGCACGTGGTTGAATTTATAAGACCCTAATTAGGCTGGTCGCCGGAGAAAGATGAGGCTTTCTGCTCCTATAAAGATTTACAACCTCAGAAACCCTCTACAGGGTCGCTATGAGTCGGAACCGGCTCCACGGCATACAACAACAATTAGGCTTGTCAATCATTTCCTTTGTAACAGAGTTTTGCTACTTAATCAAAACACCCAAACCCATACCATTAAGTCTATTCCAACTCATCATGACCCTATAGGATAGAGGGGAACTGCCCATAGGGTTCCCAAAGCTAGAATCTTTATGGAAGCAGATGGACACATTTCCCGCTGAACGGCTGGGGGGTTCAAACCACCAGCCGTTTGGTTAGCAAACCATTGCACTACCATGGCTCCTCTTGCTGTTGTTAAGTGCCATCAAGTCACTTCCAACTCACAGTGACCCTGTATAGGGTTTCCTAGGGGCAGCTGGTGGCTTTGAACTACCAACCTTGTAGTTTGAAATCCAGCACTGATCATACAACTCCTCTTGGGTTTCTGTGAAACCAGCAAAGAAGCTGGTTTAAAGCCCCCCCCCCCCACCAAATAAAAACCAACAAAAAGAAGATAAAGAGGGGGGATATGAATTCAAATTATATGCCAAGCCCAACAATCTTCATGACATCTAAGCAGGTGAGAGATTTTCCACATGGAATTCTGTGTCAAAAGCAGCCTTGAAGCATCTCCATTCTGGGGTGACCCACCAGTTAGGTTGAAGAGCAAAGATGTCAGTTTGAAGACTAAGGTGTGCCTGACCCAAGTCATGGTATTTTCAATAATCGCATATGCATGTGAAAGCTGGACAGTGAATAAGGAAGACCGTAGAATAATTGATGCTTTAAATTATGGTGTTGGAGGAGAATATTGAAAGTGCCATGTGCTGCCAAAAGAACCAACAGATCTGTGTTGGAAGTAGTGCAGCCAGAGTGCTCCTTGGAGGCCAGGATGACCAAACTTTGTCTTTCATACTTCATACATATTGTCAGGAAGGACCAGTCGCTGGAGAAGGATATCATATTTGGTAAGGTGAAGGGTCAGAGAAAAAGAGGAAGACTCCCAGAGAGATGGATTGGCAAAGTGGCAGCATCAATGGGCTCAAGCATGGCAACAATTGTGAGGTTGGTCCAGGACCAGGCAGTGTTTCATTCTGTTGTGCATAGGGTTGTTATGAGTTGGCACCAACTCAATGGCACCTAACAACAACAAATGGACTACCCATTTGACTTAGTTTTGATGGGTTGATGATCAGAACTCAACTACAGGAAGAAAAAGAAATTTGAAAGCAAGTGTAAATTGCTATAATTTGATGAACTTGAGCTATACTTATGGATGTAGTAGCTCAAAATACCATCTGAGAGGGAAGGAGTCTTCACATTAAGGATCAAGCCTATCCTCTCTGTATACGGTGTTGATAGGGATGGGCAACTTTGACACTGGCTACCTAAAATCAGGTCGGGGGGGGGGGGAGGCAGGCTATAAAGGCACGAAGTAGCTGGATTGCAAGTTTTCAAGAGGGAGTTTAGTTTCAGAGTATGCAGAGGAAGGTAGATTCCTCACTGAATAATTTTCCTCTTGTCTAGATGGGTCTGGTGAAAGGAGATGGGGATAAGATTCTTATGATTTAATAGTGAGTAATTGTTGTCATGACTAATTGCGATTGTCACAACTGAAAAGGTAGAAGTTTTGTAACATAAAGGGAGGAGTAGTTAATCTTATATTCTAGGAACAGAGGACCCTAGGACCATCAAGAGAGAAGAGCATGAGTGGAATATGGGACTCTATCCAGAGAAGCAGCTATACCAGAGATGGAAGCAGAGGTGATGACCTGAAGAGATAGAGCAGCTGAGGATTCTAGACTCATGGAAAGAGAAAGGCTGTGTGCTGGTGACCAGGAGGCAGGCTTGCAGAATGTGCCCTTTGGTTGCATAAACGATTATATATTCCTACGTGTTTTTGTGTACATTAAAAAAAAAAAAGCGAATAGAAGCAAATATGTTAATTGATGCTGCACAGAGGGGATTGTAATCATTGCAATGAAACAAAATACGATAGGTCGAGTACAAAACTAATGTTCTCCCATGTAAACTATTGCTCAATTCACAACAAAAAACAACCTTGTTAGTATTGGAAGAAGTAGTACAGCCAGAATGCTCTGTGGAAGCCAGGATGGCCAGACTTCGTCTCTCATACTTCAGACATGTTGTCAGGAGGTACCAGTCCCTGGAGAAGGACATCATGTTTGGTGAAATGGAGGGTTGGAGAAAAAGACAAGACCCCCAACAAGATGGATTGGCACAGTGCAACAGTGATGGGCTCAAATATAGCAATGATTGTGCGGTTGGTGCAGGACTGGGCAGTGTTTCTTTCTGCAGTGCATAAGGTCGCTATGGGTCAGTACTGACTCGATGGCACCTAACAACAACAATTGTCCCTTGATATCAGTAGGAAATTGGCTGCAGAACCATCCCCACCCCACTATGCACACACATAGGATACTCAAATCAGCAGATGCTGAAGTCCCTTCTATAAACACGGGGGGTATTTGCTTATACCACCTGTGTACTGTACACATCCTCCTGTATACTTTAAATCATCTGTTGTTGTTGTTAAATTTTTTGAGTTAGTTCCAACTCATAGCGACCCTGTATGGAGTTTGGGTTCTAACTCATAGTGACACAACAGAACGAAACACTGCACAGTCCTGTGCCAACCTCACAATTGTTGTTACACTTGAGCACATTGTTGCTGCCACTGTGCCAATCCATCTCATTGGGGGTTGGTCTTCCTCTTTTTCGCTGTCCCTCCACTTTACCAAGCATGATATCTTTCCAGAGACTGGTCCCTCCTGCTACCATGTCATATGAGAATTTCATTGGGAAACCTGGCCCCATCCTACATCGCTGATCTTGACCCTCCAGAATTTTTTGTCCCCCAAAGAACATTCAAAATGAACCAAAGTTAAGTGTCTTGCGGATGCTAAACTGCTGTTTTGATGTGGTTTAAATAGAAAACTGTAGAGTTCTTCAGACAAAGGTTATTGTTGCTAAGTGCTATTGAGTCATAGATAGATGGCAAATTGTCTTCAGAAGTGTACAGACCTAGAGAGAGGATTTTTAAGAACCCGTATCTTCACCTTTGATATTTTTATTTAATAAAGGTTTCTTTATAATTTTATAGCAATATTTTTAAAATTTAATTTCATATATATGTGTGTGTGTATCTATATGAAGCTCTGGTAGTGTAGTGGGTTGTACATTGGGCTATAAACCACAAGGTCATCAATTCAAGTCATGCGACAGCCCTTGCTATCCTTGACGAATAAGCAGGCGTATTGTCATGACAGAAAAAAAAATTCCTTGTATAAATTTCCTGGACTTTTTCTTTACCAATGCAATTTTCAACTTACTTAAAATTTGCTCATAATAAGCCCCCATGATTGTCACATGTCATTTGAGAAAACCTACCAAGATTATCTCTTTGGAATTTTGGAATTAAAAAATAGTCACCATAGCCAGTGAGGTGACCTCTGTGTCTTGAATTGAAATGACCCAGCAGGTCCTCTTGAAAGCCACTGTTTTGATTGGACCTGTTTTTGAAGAGGGTACCTACCATAATGAAACTAAGACAAATGTATTACTAAGAGAAATTGTCTTCAGCCATCTACTGATTGCAGATGTTTAAACGCATCTTACTAGAATAAACTTGTATCTGAATGAATTGGAACCCAAGTACTGATAACTTTTTAATTTACTCTTCTACAAGCGGGTTTCAAAAATTTCATCTATAGTTGGCTGTCATCGAGTCAGAACCCAAGTAGCTTCCGTCTTCATAGCCTTTACAAGTAATTTGTGATCATAAATGACTTTTCTGGGGCCCTGGGCGCAGTGAGTTCGGCTGCTAACCGAAAGCTCAGTAGTTTGTATCCACCAGTCACTCTGTGGGAGAAAGATGAAGCTTTCTGCTTCCGTAAAGATTTATAGCCTCACAAACCCTTTACAGGGTCGCTGTGAGTCAGAACCGTCTTGGTGGCACATCACCAACCACCATAAGACTTCTGAACTGGAGGAGAAATCATAGGACATTCTGAACTTTGTTTTTAAAACTTTTGTTGTGAATTGAGTGAAGGCTTAGACAAGATCATTAGCTTTACATTCAACAAATCATTGACATCACTTTGTTTCATCTCAATGATTACAATCCCCTCCCTGCAACAGCAGTTCTCCTGCTTCTCCCCTGTGGCTCCTGTTTGCATCCCACCACCTTCCTATCCCTTCTCAACTTTGCCCTTATGCATATGCTGCCCTTTTGATTTTGCATGAGTGACCATTGATCGTGGTGAGCACACTTTGCTCATGTAGTTTCCCACCCCCCATTAACCTATCTACTGCTGACTGAAAATGGAGCCAGGAGGGTGAGTTCCTTTCTAGTCCTGAAGGGTAATTGAGGGGCCATAGTCTCAGGGTTCCCCAGTCTCTTTCTTTCCTGTAAACTCAGTCTTTTTATTATTACTAAATAATTTTGAGTTTTGTTCCACATTTTCTCCCCCTCTATCTGGGACCCTCTAATGTGATCCCTATCAGGGCAGTTGGTAGTCAGGTACCATCTAGTTCTTCTGGTCTCAAAGTTGTGGAGACTGATGTTCACGTGTTCCGTTAGTCCACTGGACTAATTGATTCCAAGCCTCTTCATTTCACATCTCTCTTCTTTCTTCTACACATGGAGA